CCTTTGTGCTGGCAGTTTACGTCATTCAGGTGCTTAAACCTCTGTTCTGAAGGAGCAATAAGGATGTTGTGAAAATAAATACATGAATATTTATAAGAAACGTGGAAATTCAGATAAAAGTTGATTTAGTCATTCTTAACCAGTAATGTTTTAGGGTGTTTTCACCATGGCACTAGGAACTGAGTGACTGTACACAAAAGATAGGGAGATGCTAATTACCATCTCTCATGTCCGGCTTATCTTCAACAACCATAGACATTCAGATGGCAGGGGTTTTCACAGTCTTGCAGTATTCAAGGCATAGAATTGCAGATGCTACCAGGTCTGCCTCTTCTATAATGCTCCATGCCCAGGCTGCTGCGTTTCTGCCTCAAAAGACTCTTCTCTGGACTCCAGTTTCAGCTGCCTTATCAGTGTTCTTCTCTTGCTGTCTTCTTGCTTTCTCCTGACTGACACGCTGGGCAAGTAATCTTAGCTCTGCCAAAATAATTTAATGCTACATCCTTACTGCATGTCTTAGGTTTTACCTCTGCTACCAAAAAGGGTAACTCAGGTAAGGTTTGGGCATGTACATTTCAAACATAAGTCAGTGAAGACAATGGAAAGGGGAAAGGCCAGGCTTATTGCCCCACAACACAATCTCTGGCCACAAAAACCTCTTTCTGTCAGCCTGCAAGGGGCTGGGAGTTGGGGGAGATTGTAGAACAATGTGTCTTATACTCCCTGAGAATTTCTATTGATTAAAATGCCCTCTTGCTCCAAACACCACAGAAGTACATTCTCACCTAATTTGTTCTTTAAATATGTTTAAAGTTAACACAGGCAGGCCAGGCCACCTCTGATCTGGCTACAATGTTTGTTCCAATGAGAATATTTTCAGCATCACAAATTGTGGATCCAGCTTGATATGTACTACCTGCTTTAGCAATCTTGCTAAAAATCATACAGTCTTTATATTTCTGACCATGTCGGGATTATAGCAGTTTCCATGGCTCTCAGAGGGGATGCACACAACTGGCTTCATTCCATCTAGTCTGGATTAAGTGAAATTATTCCACTGGGGATCAAAGTACAAAGATATCTGTAATCAAGAGAAAGAAAGAGATGTACTTCCAGAGGATAACTCAGATTTAGCTAGTGAGAGGTGGTTTTGTAGTAACATCCCATAGATTAACAGAACATAGGCCTTTTAAAAAACAAATCAATCAAAATCTTGTTTCTTAGATGGCAAAAGAAGTATCTGAGTACCAAAGATACTGAATCCCATAAAACAACTTTTGCTAAGGACATCTTATAGGCTACCATTTATAGGATAAGAAAGTTTATATTATCTCAAGAATTGCGGGGAGTCTGAATATTCACTGCATGTCATCCTCAATGAATCATTTTCATGCAGCAAAAAAAGGTGAAATGTTCTTTTCAAAACATCTCTCAGGAGCCAGGCAGCAGAGCAATCAAAGGTGTCTGGTCTCAGTGCTCATTAGAAAGTCTGTAAAAACAAGCCAGCATGTGGGTGAAGCCCCAGTGAACAGAAGCAGCCCATCAGCATTTGCTCAGTCCATGCACAGCCCTGGCAGTCATCAGAGACTCGGTGGGTGGACTGTGGCCCCAGATCTGCCAAACTGCAGCAGGGCATTCCTCAGCTTGGAAGAAGAGGTGCAACACCGGTGGACATTTCCAGTCTTCTCAAGGAGGAAAAGGAAACTGAATGATAATGTTCCAGAGCAGAGATTTTTTTTTCCACTTTTTTAAAATGCTCATATCTGTAGGAACATACGGCTTCCCCGAGTTTATCCATCCGTAGCCAAGCCCTTGGAGAATGGTAAGATGGATGACAGAAGGCATCAAGAACAACAGTGTGTTCAGTCCTTGTGTCACAATGGCACCATCTCACTAAGCAGTGGCAAAACTTCCAACTCATGCTCAATTTCTCCGTGTCCTTGGCAGGGTGCTGGGGACACTGTTCTGGAATGGAGCTTCATATCACACTTCCACCCAACAGCAATGTGCTGTGGTGCCTTGTCGTCTTGGTCAAATAATGACAGAATTTAAACAGGTACACAGGTACTAATAGAGAAAATAAGGCTTTCTTCTTCTCACACAGAGCGCTCTCCCTTCTGCCTCATCCCAAAGATTTCCTCAAGCCTGCAAACATGCTTTTAATTGAAGAGTCTAAAATATTGATCATATTAAAGAACTTGCCACATTCTGTACTGCCTACCACCTGTTTATGAGGAAAAAATAGAACGTTGGAGCGTATGAATTGAATTATATTGAAAATTTACTCAGTCAATCTTTTGGGACCAATTCATGTCTCTCAGAACTGATTTCACTGCACTATTTGTCTTGGTAATATAACCAGAAGTGTTTCCTTCCTTCTGGGAATTGAAATGACTCTCTCTCTAACCTACATAGCAGCTGAAAACATAGGGGCATAATTACACACTGAGCAAAGTCCCAGCCATTAGATCCTTTCTATTCTCCATCGTGGCCCACTTTAAGGTACCCTCTGATCTTAACAGAAAAGACAGCTGTTGGGCCCATTAAAGCATTCCTTCAGAGATGTTCAATCAAGTGGATGCCAGAACTAGCCTACCCTACTGTCCAGCAGTGAAAAGAGAAGATTGTGATGAGCCATGAAACAGCAGCCTTTACACAGAGTTGGAACACCACACCACTTAAATTTTGCTGATTTTTTTACTCTGTTTCCGATTTCCTTGTAAGTACAGCCTCTGGTAAGAAATGTAATTCTGAAGCTTCAGATTTTTGGTTACTGTTAGCAAAGAACCAGACGCAGGACAAGAACAACTGATTTGCGGTCAAACTTCAGTATGGTGCCTCAGCCAATATGAACTCAGCTCTGTGGACTCAGCAATAATCTGAAGGTTACATTCCTATGTCTAAGTCGTATTGGCATCTTGCATCTTGGGGCTGCTTGCGTGGACTGATCTAAGTTATATTCATAACAACTGCTTTGCTCCTTCAAGAGTGAAAAGGGGAGGCTGGATTGGCTTATAGCACTCTGGAATTTTCCGGCAGGACACTTCACAGTTAACTCTCAGCTACCAATATTTTTGCAAAGATATATCTTCTAACATGTTTGTATTGATCTTTGAAGTACAAAAAAAACCCTTTTGACAAGAACCAGGCTTTCTTACTGTCTTAAATATTCCCCACAAAGGATATGTTCCCAAATATCTTTGGTATTATTTCTTGCCTTTTCCTGATACTTCTTTCAAGCCTTATTCTAGAAGATTGATTTGTCTGTAGTGTGCATGGGATATCCTCACATGTCCACTCTACACAAGCCTCTAGTCCAAGCAATTTCTCACCTGCCACTACTGTGATCTATGGGAACAATATATATTGATTAGTGGCTGGACATGAAACAGTGCAAGGCTGAAGGACGCTTCTTTTATTGAGAACCAATTCCCTGCTTGCTCCATTTTTCTGTTATGAGCTCCAGAAGCAGAGATTAATGACAGCTGTTCCACTTGTTTAAACAGCTGATGTCTGAGGCCTAGATCCCACCTGGGGCTCCCGTCTGGACAATAACAACAGACCATTACTGAGCTAAGCGAAAAAAAAACCCACTGTAAAAAATAGCAAAGATTTAGCTTCCAGGTTAGCAAAGAAAATAATTTCTTTGGGAGCAGAAAAGTAGTCAAAGGACAAAAAATGAGAACCACTATGGGCAGCAAAAGAATTTTTACTGTAGTCCATTAAATTTTCATAGACACAGATTGCAAAGCAATCAGGCATTGCTTGGGGTGAGATGCAGCTGTTGGATATGAAGAGACACAATTGCCATAACTGTATGATGGATGTATTCACAGCGAATGAAATGTAGAAAATGACAGGGTCAATGATAATAAATGTGTAGATACAGAGGAAGAAACTAGAAGAATGTAAGAATCAAGAAGAATAGGAAAAAGCATATGGAGCTATTTTAGACACCTACAGCAAGTGTTTTTGACAGGGAAAATAAAGACAATATAGACAACAGGCCAACAAAACTTGACCATGGATAAAAACCAGTGCATTAAAGAGAGGTTACCTAGGAGCAAGCCTGGCATTTCTTGTTCCACACCAAAAGACCTGGCTGGAGATATATATGACTCAAAGGAAGATATAGGTTGTTTTGCTTCTTTGGTACCAAGCGAAAGAGGATAGTAATATGGATGAAAGATAGAGAGACTGTGTTGCTGCTTCATATGCTACAGTTATTCCTTGTTTAGAGGACATTAGGTTCCAATTTATTTGAAAAAGTGGTCAAGAATAACAGCTAAGTAAAAGGACTACTTGAAATACTCCTATAGGTAATGAACAGTTCATTGCTTTCTAGTTCTTTAAAAGATCCATAGTCAGGTTTATTGGGTTTCAAGTATAACATAATATTTTTTTTGAATACCAAATTTCACACTTAACTGTCAGGTACAATGAGAGAAATAAGAAACAGGCATCATGCAGCCACCAAGCCTTCCAATTATATTTTCTTGCCTCATTCCACATGAAAAATCCCAGCTGAACCTTGAGTTACGTTGCATACCATTTTTAAGTCCTGTAGCTGCCATTAACTTGCAGAGACAGGGAAATTTGGAGGGTATTATTTGACTACCATGTTTGACTAAGGAGCAAAAGGGGAAATAAAATACTGAACCCTTCATCCCTGCCATCACCACTTTGTCTATCTCCATCTGTCATCCACCTGGGCTCTGAGTGATTAAATTTACAAGCATTTTCAGACACATTGAGTGAGTACTGCTGAATCAGGAAAATCACAGTCTCGTCTCAGCAATGAGTTAATATTTTAAGCCTCATGTTAGTTAAAAGGTCCTTGGTAAAAATCCAGCTGTTATTTTCAGAGAACTTGTAATCACCAGAGGAGAGGACCTAGGTCTTAGATCCCAGTTTCTGCACTCTGAGGCTTTTGGGAGGAGTGACAAAGAAAATGTTTTTTATCTATGGTGACCTGGTTTGTCTCCTTTTCCTTCTTTCAGGCTAAGAAAAGCTACTAAACCTCACCAATGCTGAGAGGAGGCTGGGCTCAGCTACTCTGAGATGTTCAAAAGGACAAACAGAAAAGTCTGGAGAGGGCTTATTTTGTGAGGTGCTTTGGCCTCGGTGAGCTGCAAAGCAGCCTGGCTGAGCTGCTGCTCCTGCCATGGTGGAACCAGATGCTCTTGTCTGCTGACCTGATTGCACTACTCTGCAGTGATGGTCCAAATTACAGTGTTTTTCTGAGTATTGACAACTTGATAAAGGCTGCCATTGCCTGGACTGCTTGACAGATAAATTAAAGGGGAATTTCTTCCTGTAAATTTTGTCGTTTTTATTTATACATCAAAGAGAATCCTGGTTTTTGAGCTTGCTTAATGTTGTTCTTTTGGGCCTTTCTGTAACTATCAGGGTTTTCTGTGTATCCTGATGAATCAGAGGTCATTTTGTAAAAGTCAAATAATGTATCCTCAAGGGCTGAAATTTTCAGGTGTCAGATAAAAGGTTTTAAGGAGAGAAGATGATGGAAAGTTGCATAAAACCCACATGTATTCTGCTGAGAAATGGCTTGACAGCAATTTCAGGTAAAGGAATCCTGCCTCTCAGGTTGAGACTATATGAAATAAAGCTCCATTGATCCTTCCTGAACCACCTCGCTAAATCTAGTTTGACTCTTCAAATAGCACTCTTCAAATAGCTTCTGATAAAATGGGGACTCAGCCTCCAGTGTAAGTCTTTACCCACTCCTTTCCTTCTGCAAACAACATATAAATGTCAGAGTGGTTTTACTGACCTCAATAAATGCTTTTGGGCAAGCAAGGATGATCCCAGATACTGCCAACAGGAGGCCATTAAGATTGATGTTATGTTTCCACAGCTTTCGTCAGATGGGAGGACCTCTGTGGTTTTATAGTCTGGTGCTAAGCTTGAATCTGGCAGTGTTCAGGCAAGATACCAGGGCTGGGTGAAGCATGGGGTGGGAAGAACAGGAGATTGTGTTCATGTATTCCATGTCTGGTAAAGGCTAAGCAGCACTCAACAGGCAGCTCCCACACAGTTATGTGAGGTAGTGGTTGGAAGAAAGCAAAATGAGAGGGAGAAGATGCAAAGATATTGTTCCGCTTCCTACTCTGCAGAGCTTGCTCATTGCGTGGGTGAGAAGAATATGTCCTGCCCTAGGAAGGATTTTAGGAGTAGGAACGATTCTTTGCATGCCAAAATTCTCTGACTGCTTACTTTGGAGTCCCCAGGGGCAAATTTATCTCTAATGTGAGCCAGTGGACTTTTGCGAGAGCTGAATAAACTCCCCTCTCCTTTGTAAGAGGGATGTTTTCAGCAGTAGGAAAAAAGAAAAGGAGAGAAAAAAAATATCTGGTAGCTCTGAAATCAAGCATGCACCCAGTATATTTTTTCTGAGTGGCAGATGCAGGTGTCTTTCCCCTGTTCTCTCCAACAGGAGAGATGCTGCAGCAGTGCAGCTCCCATATGTTACAGAAATCCTCCCATGGTAGACAATGGGGTAGCAGAACAGCACGCGCGGACTGACTGGGCGAGGGCTTTAATAAAGGATATCTGTCTGGGGAACACTGTGGCTGCTCTGCAACTGCAAATTCTCTCAGGCATTTTAGAGACAATCAGGCTCTGGAGTGCATTCTGCAGTGCATATCCAGTGCATTCTGGCCATGTTCCTTCCCGTGCTAAAGACAGAACCTTGTAATATTTATTACTTGTCCAGTTTCTTGTACTTATTTTCAAAGCCCCCACAGGGGAACTTTGCTTTGTTAGTCTGTTTCTAGCATTGCCCTCTCATTTTGTATTTTCTACTGTCCTTTACACAGACTACGAGAGGGAAGGTTGAGCAGAAGGTGAGAAAACGGGATGCTGGCTCACATTTATTTGTGAGAAGAGGAAGTCTGACCTCAGCTGGAGAGCAATGACTACTGTAGAGGGATAGCATATGAATGTTGATGCTTCAGAAACCTCAGATTATTTTTAGTTTTGCATCCCAAGAACAGGAGTCCCACAGTGCAGGTAGAGTCTCTCTCTGTAGATGCTGGATCACACAGAGTAGGCACACACATTTATAATGAAGAAATTTTGACCAGTGCTAAATAAAGCTGGATTCTGCTCTCAGTTACAGCAGCAAAAACTGGAATAGGAATTCTGATGCCAATGGCATAATTTTGGATTTGTTCTGTTCTCCATCTCTCTGTCCTCCTTCCTTTATGTTCACAGGAACCTTCTCTGAGAATATGCACTAGTTTGTATGTCTCTTTTCATCTTTCTTTTAACATGTAAAATACCAGACTCAAAGCAGAACTTAGAAGTAGTAGCCGAGAAACAGATGGACCCAACGAAGATGTAGAATGCAAAGGATGATTTTATCTATAGAGATCTCAGCATATGAATGTTACTGAACTTGGTGAATGTCCTTTCCAAGGACATCCAATGTCCTTTCCAGTATTCTGCAGAAAGCTGGCTTTGGTCATCCCTTCCTTCTTACATTTTATTCCTTTGCCGTCCTCTGAAATCCTTCACTGTTTCACAGGAGCTTTTCTCAGTTTAAGACATTGTCTTTGCATTTTTGAACAGAGCATAGACAAAGTAGAATCAATGGCTGCTTCTTCTTTTAGTATCAAAGTGAAACTTACTTTCCAAGCAACTGTCCTTTTTACTTGCTGGGCTGGGGGTTTGGCAGTCCTGAGGAGTGGAGTTTCCTGGTGAGTAGAGTTCTGTGTTGAAAAGCAATGACTCTTCAGAAATCCGGAAAGAAAGCTCTCCCAGACAGGCTTCCTCTTGCTGCAGATCATCTTTCAGGGAACTCTAGGTATTTTATATTTTATCCTTTCTCAGTCTTTTGTTTTGTTTTGTTACTTCAAAGTACAACTACTTTGGAGGAAACAGCTACTTCTTTATGTTTTAGTCTAGTGTAAGTCAATTCCCTGATCACAACACACTAGTGATACCATGTTTGGTTATGGTAATTTTATTTTGTTTTCAAAGACCTCCAATATGTTGAGGAACTTATGTTTCAGCCATATCTTTCATATCTTCTTTCCTACTCTTTTCTTTTGTACTGCATTTCTATTGGTTCTCTATCATCCCCAAATGCCATATTTGAATCTCCTTTGTGTTGCCCCTTTCTCTAACAGTGCCCTGAAGACCATTGTTGTCAAATCCCATATTCATCTTGGTTTTATTTTTAAACTCTCTGGAGATTTTGAACTTCAACATGTCTGGCCCTATTAAAGTGACTTTAATAAAGCAATTCACATATGGCAATGTGGTAAATGATTTATCTCAGTAGCATTATGCAGCTGCAGCACTTTCTTCCTTTCCCCAGACAGAGTCCCAAGCCAACGATCCCAAGAGGACTACAGACAGCCAAAATATAAACCCACATTTTGGGGAATGTGAACGGATGGAATTTTGTGAAGATGTTACTCATGGGGAATGTTCTTGAAACTTTGGGATATATCTCTATTTTAATTAATATGGTTGTCCTACATTCTCTTCTGGGAGAAGGGAAAAGAAAGCAATTTTAATGAGCTCCCATAGGTTTTTTTCCAGGTAAGTGATAATATTCAGAGATAAAATTCAATGAATTAAGTCAAGGGAATCATAAGAAAATGTCTGGTTAATAGATCTGACTTTTTGTAACATGGAGCATAGCTGATATATGTGGAGAAACTGTGGTAGAGGCTTAAAGATAGAACATTGCTTTGCATCTGGATGGAAAGGCATTCTGGCAGTAGTAGAAAACAGGAAAGTCAATATGAGATTAGGAATATATGTGAATGGAAAGGTAAGAGGCTTTTCAATTATGAGGTCAAGAAGATAGGAAGTAATGGAAGAAGAATGAAGATGTGTCGTGAACAAACTTTCATTAAGGTCTGAAGATGAGGGAAACAGGGGTGAAGTTGATGTAAAGAAGAATTAAGGTTGATGAAAAGAATCATCTGGGTTTTTTGTATGTTGGTTTATTTGAAACACATATTTTCCCTCAGATTTCAGTTTATGTTTTCGTTAGATTTTCCAAGGTAAAATATTTTTCAACAGAAATTGGAACAGAATGATATTCTTTAAAAATATACTTCTTTTTAGCTGAAAAAAACCAACTTTTTGTACACATTGTCACTAAAAAACAATATGGATATAATTTCCCAACAGAGGAAAATGGTTTGAAATCCAGAAATTATTAAACATTCTCAATCAGTGAAACAGAGTGCCTTAGGGAAGAAAGGAATTGGAGCACTAGGAATGGGACTTTGGACTGGATGTTGGGCATAGATGTTTGGCCCCCTTACTGATTGGAAACAAGCATTCAAAAATCAATGGCATGAGGATGGAGGGGACTTTGTTGCAGTGCTAATGAATCAAGACTTTTTCCGTAGTTCACTTTGGAGAAACTTTAGGTTTTGAACCAAATATCTATGCATGCTTTAGTTACCAAAGGGGTTAATCTGTGCGATCAACAGGATTGGTACACCTAGAGACAGACCACAGCAATGTCAAGTTCCATACTGGCATGCATAAAGAATTGTTACCAAACAGGTGCTTGCTGACATGGCTGTTTGACTAACAAATTGTTTGCTTACAGCAAAGCACAGAAATCAAAAGTAGGAGATGGAAGGATCCTGGTGGCAAAATAATGAATTATCCAAATCAGTCAGTTGGGTCTACATGAAGAATCAAGGTCATAACTCACATCTTAATCTGTTGAGTCTCTTTCAAAAACTGTTCTATTTTCATATATAAGTTTCTGCATAAAATATGTGATATATTTTGTAGTCAACCTTGCTTTGCTTTTTATTGCTGTTTATTATATCCAGACAAAGCCAATGAATGATTCTAGTTCAGTGAAGAACTCAGGTGTATTAGTCTAAACAAAGAAATTTAGCTTAAACACAGGAGTCAAACTTGACAAAATTTTGGATAGAAAACAAGGTGTTAATATTGTCCCCCTGCTGACAAGTTCTTGCAATAGGTGAAAAATAGGTTTTCCCTCAGTCCTCTCAGTTCTGGTTAACCGTACTTTGTCTGGAGTGTTTCTATTCACTTTAAAAATGGAGAGGCAATACCTGCAAAATGCAAGGTGTTCAGAGCCTCAGGAGTGAAGATGAGGTCTGTTGTTCCAGAGAGCAACCAAGGAACATGGATATCTCTGTCAGCATCTTCTTTCCTTCCCCTTTACATACTTTTCTAGTTTAACCAGATTTCAGGATTTTACAAAAATTAGATGATCAGGCACGATGTTTCTGAAGCAAACCATGGTTGACAGAAGATTCATAGTGCTGCCAGTTCAGGCCCAAACCATGTGATT